GAGAAAGATCAAGTACTACATTTATTAGCGACTGGAAACCTACAAATTCTGTTTAAAAAAATGAACTAATGATTTATAATTTGTTGATGAGAAAGGGTAGATTATGGAAAAAAAGAAACTTTGATGTAACCTTAGAGAGAGGGAGAATAAAATGTAAATATAATTGCTGTTAAGAAGACCGGAAGTCATTTCTTTATTATTTTTGTTGTTTTCTTTGCTTCTTTTCCATTTTCCTATTACTTTTCTTTGCATTGTTTTTACTGTGTGGAAAAACCTCTTTAATAAAAATTAAATAGATATATAAAGGAAAACTACCATAGAATTGGCCATGTTGAACCTAAAAATATTTGCACAGGCCAATCAACGGTCATTATGGCAGCCAATTTTGGGCAATACACCTTAATGATCTGAAAATTCCAGAGATGTCCTCCAGACAAAAATAGCTAGGCACTCTGTCTCATTTAGTACAGATTTTAACAGTCTCAATGACCACAGTAATCCAAGAACAAAGAAAGTTTGGATTTCAAAACAAATAAACAAAATAAGACAATATGCCCTTTAGAAATAAAGAAAATGCAAATCAGAATCACAACAATCATACCAGAGATCAATTTGGATTAAATTCCAGAAACATGCTTTGAAACATTTCCACAGTTGCCAACTAACCTTAGGAAAATACAAGACTCCTTTAAGATTTGGAAACTTGAATGACATCTTTGGAACTAAATCCAAAACGCTGTAGAGCTTTTATTTATACATTAATGTCATCCAGGATGAATTGGATATTCACCTTGGATTTTAAGATTATTGGGAATGCCTCCCAGGACACCCTTCGCATAGTGTACTCTTGTCATAACATGATTTTCCCCCCAAAATCTTGAGTAGACATTCTTAGCATCTCTAATTACTCTGATAGAAGTTTGAAACAGACATATAGGTAACAGACTAGTCAATACAATAGGAAATCTAAGTACATCAAGGTTAGATGGGCAGAATGCACATCATATATTGAGGCAAAGCCATTATCTCTGAATAGTTAGGAAGATTATTTTAGTCCAAAAATCTAAATGTCAGATGCACCAAATAATAGAAAAGATGGGACAAAAATCACCAAAAGTCCCTTAAAGAAATTAAGAACAACAGAAGAGAAAACTGGACTTACCATGTAGTTCCTTACCATACCTGGACTACTTTTCCTCTTGCTCAGGTAGATAGGATGAAAATATTTTATTCTATGCTCCACAGATAGAAGAGAACAATCTCTAGTTAAGGGATTGACAAAGAACACTAGAAAGAATTACACAAGATTGAAGTGGAAGAAAAACAGATATAACGATAAATACTAGATGTATTTAGAAAAAAAAGAGTCTTGTTTTCACTAAAATATAATAAACCATCCATCAACAGAAGAAAAAGGAATTTTACCTGTCAGCTTGTGCTACAAAATCTCAAGTAAAGATGGTAAAAGGATGGTAAGTGTAGAGTAATCTTTGCCCTGTAGAAGGTAGTTACCTTGAATGTGGGCCTCTTCTGTTGTTCCAGGATAACAAAAACCAGAGAACTAACAGGATGATCATACACTTGGCTCCCACTATTGCCAATGTTTTGTCATAGGGCAGTGATGGTTAACCTTTTTGGTGCCCCCCCCCGATGCATGCACTCACGCTTCCCGTGCATGCACACACACCCGCCATATTTTGGCTTCCAGGAGGCTTTCCAGGTCCAGGCGGCTTTCCAGGTCCAAAATCGGGTGCGGGGGGTGGGGGTGGGGCGCATCCCATTTTGGGCCTGGAAAGCCTCCTGCACCAGCCTGCCCCCCCCCGTCCCCGTGCATGCACAGCAGAGGCCTGAAGACCAGCTGGCCGGCAGGAGGCGCACAGGCATGCATAGTGGAACTGAGCTGGGGCGACGGCTGGCATGCCTGCAGAGAGAGCTCTGGTGCCACCTGTGACACACGTGCCATAGATTCGCCATCATGGTCATAGGGTATTTCTGTGGATACCTAAGATTTCATTAGGACATAGACCCAAAGCAGCTCTTTTGGATTCTCTTCCTCCATTGATTATGGAAACATATCAGAATTGCTGGTATTAATTTTGTTTTCCCCCATTCTAATTCTACAAGCAGAATTAAAAATTAATTAGCATTCCAATGCTCAATTCTTGCTAACACCATTGCTTTACTTTTTAAGTAAAACATTACTTTCATTACTGTCATTACTGTTCAATATCAATTTAACACTTCTCCAACTACATATACAGTTGCAAGAAAAAGTATGTGAACCCCTTGGGATTACGTGGAGTTTTGCATGAATTGGTCATAAAATGTGCTCTGAACTTCATCTAAGTCACAACAATAGAAAAACACAGTCTGCTTAAAATAATACTACACAAACATTAGATGTTGCCATGGTTTAATTGAACATAACATGTAAACATTCACAGTGCAGGGAGGAAAAAGTATGTGAGCCCCTAGCCTAATGACTTCTCCAAGAGCTAATTGGAGCCAGGAGTGAATCAACCTTGACTCCAATCAGTGTGATGATATTGGATGTGTTGCTGACAGCTGTCCTGCCCTTTAAAAACACACACCTGTTTTGGGTTTACTGGTTTCAAGAAGCACTGTCTGATGTGAACCATGCCTCGCAGAAAAGAGCTCTCAGAAGACCTACGATCAAGAATTGTTGACTTGCATGAAGCTGGAAAGGGTTACAAACGTATCTCCAAAAGCCTTGATGTTCATGTGTCCACGGTAAGACAGACTGTCTACAAATGGAGAAAGTTTAGCACTGTTTCTACTCTCCCTAGGCGTGGTCGTCCTATAAAAATGACTGCAAGAGCACAGTGCAGAATGCTTCATGAGGTAAAGAAGAATCCTAGAGTGTCAGCTAAAGACCTACAGAAATCTCTGGCACATGCTAACATTTTTGTTGACACATCTACAATAAGGAAAACATTAAACAAGAATGGAGTACATGGGAGGACACCACAGAGGAAGCCATTGCTGTCCAAAAAAAATATTGCAGCACGTTTTAAGTTTGCAAAAGAGCACCTGGATGTTCCACAGCACTACTGGCAAAATAAACTGTGGACAGATGAAACCAAAATTGAGTTGTTTGGGAAGAACACACAACACAGGTCATTGCAACAGGACAATGAGCCAAAGCATACAAGTAATTCAACAAAAAAATGGCTTCAACAGCACAGAATATGCCTTCTGGAGTGGCCCAGTCAGAGTCCTGACCTCAACCCGATTGAAATGCTGTGGCATGACCTTAAGAGAGCGATTCACACCAGACATCCCAAGAATATTGCTACACTGAAACAGTTTTGTGAAGAGGAGTGGTCTAAAATTACTCCAGATCATTGTGCAGGTCTGATCTGCAACTACAGGAAACGTTTGGTTGAGGTTATTGCTGCCAAAGGAGGGTCAACCAGTTATTAAGTCCAAAGGTTCACATACTTTTTCCTCCCTGCACTGTGAATGTTTACATGTTATGTTCAATTAAACCATGGCAACATCTAATGTTTGTGTAGTATTATTTTAAACAGACTGTGTTTTTCTATTGTTGTGACTTAGTTGAAGTTCAGAGCACATTTTATGACCAATTCATGCAAAACTCCACGTAATCCCAAGGGGTTCACATACTTTTTCTTGCAATTGTATCTGATAGCAGTAGTGATGCTCTAATATATGTGAACATGGCTATTTCTAATTACTTTAGGAGAGAATATTTGTAGCTCAAAGTTGAACTATAGGGTATTTAGTGGTCTCTGAACTGGGTCATTTTCTTGCAGACGTTTCATTATCTGACTAGGTAACATTTTCAGTGGATCTAATTATTTATCTATTTAAATCCTATTGTAGAGATGAAGGAAGGATAAAATATTAGTCTCTCATCTTTCTCTTTCAGACTGACTGATAGATCATCCAACTTTATGATAACTCCAATTAGTTTAGATATATCAGCCAGCATTTCTCTATACTAAAATCTTCAATTGTCATGTCTAGCTTGACATGATGGCCAGCCATTAGGCTCCTCTATTACAATTCTCCTTACAATACTTCTTTCTATTCACAGGGTTGTTTTCTGGGAGTCCACTTCTAATGCCTTCAACAACCCCTTCTTTTTCCACAAGTGCATTCTCCTATGAGAAAATAACTCCCAATCCTTGCTTCTCTTATCAACTACCTAGCACAAAGAACTTGTTTGGGTATCTATGTGAATATATGAAAAGCCAGACATGGCTGAATACAAGATGTCTGTCCATCCTTCTGCAGAAGTTAACTATACTTGATCACAGTCAAAATCTAACAACTTGCCAAAACATCTGTGCCTGTTTTGGATTATATACTAAATCCTAAACTGAAAATGTCTGTGCATGGTGACTGCCCTATGCTCAGCCATAAGGCCAGATTGATTGTGGGAGAAGGTCAATTTTCAGAGACCCAGAGATGAGGGAGCACTGAACATGAAAGGGGAAAGTTCAGTGAGAAAACGTGTCACCTACATCTACATTAATCCAGTTTAAAGTGGCCCTGTCAATCAAAAAGAACATTAAAGATGTCCTAATCCACAGGTCTTTTGGCTGCTTGAAGATAGCTCCATAATTTCACTTCCTGAATATCCAAAATGGTCCTTTGGGCAAGAATGAGAAAAAAACCCACCTGGGTGAGTACTTATTCTGGTAAAACCCAGGCATAAGAATGACAGTCCCATGTCTGGACAGACTTCTGCTGTGTCCAGGGAAAGTCTTATAGGAAGGAAAAAGGAAGGAAAAAATCAACAGAAATTGAGAAAGGAGAAAGTTTAATTTAGAGGTTTTGTCTGCTTATAAACAGACAAGAAATGTTTGGGAGGTTACTCTCATCCCTGCCATGTAGGAGCTATAAAATAAAATATTTTGATCCTGCCTAAAACATGACAGGCACTTCCGATAATATTGCCTTGGTTTCCATCAGGAAAAATAAAGACCTAATTTAATCATTACATTCCTTACCATAGGGATATTTTGTGTTGAGTTTATTATCTGCTGTTCTTGTCCAAGGCAAAAGATCATCACTGCATCCATTAGGCATCCCATTGTATCCAATTCCAACAATCTTGTTTTCTGAATTCACAATGCAAGCACCAACCTAAAACAAAGCATCTGGTTTACTGTTTCACTCCTGTCATCCATTTACCTGTTGACTATGGCTCAGAAGGTTTATTTTATTTATTTATTTTATTGAATTTCTATACCGCCCTACTCCCGAAGGACTCAGGGCGGTGCACAGCCATAAAATAAAACACATAGATATACAAAATTTAAAATCAAATAAAATGAATTAAATAAATTTGGCTGAATTAGTACCCATAATTTAAGATACCCATTTTTTAAAATACATTAAGAATTTAAAAATTTAAAATTTATACTTAAAAGGGAGAAGATTTAGGCGAGGCCAGATTGATGAAATAAAAACGTCTTCAACTCGCGGCGGAAGGTGCGCAGATCCGGAATCCTCCGTATCTCTGGGGGGAGCTCATTCCAGATCGTCGGTGCCCCCACAGAGAAGGCTCTCCCCCTAGGGGCCGACAGCCGACATTGTTTGGCCGACGGCACCTGGAGGAGCCCCTCTCTGTGGGAGCGTACTGGTCGGTGGGAGGCTGTTAATGGTAGTAGGCGGTCCCGTAAGTAACCAGGTCCTAAGCCATGGAGCGCTTTAAAGGTGGTAACCAGAACCTTGAAGCGCACCCGGAAGACCACCGGGAGCCAGTGCAGCTCGCACAGGAGAGGTGTTACATGGGAGCTCCATGTTGCTCCCATAACCACCCGCGCGGCCGCACTCTGCGCCAGTTGGAGCCTCCGGGTGCACCTCAAGGGGAGCCCCATGTAGAGAGCGTTACAATAGTCCAGACGAGAGGTGACGAGGGCATGAGTGACTGTGCGTAACGAGTCCCGATCTAGAAAGGGACGCAACAGGCGAATCAGGCGAACCTGATGAAAAATCCTCCCGGTCACAGCCGTCAAGTGCTCTTCTAAAGACAGCCGTGAGTCCAGGAGGACGCCCAAGTTACGAGCCCTTTCCGTGGGGGCCAATGATTCGCCCCCAATAGCCAGCGATGGCACCAGCTGACTATATCGGGACGTCGGAAACCACAGCCACTCGGTCTTGGATGGGTTGAGCCTGAGCCCGTTTCTCCCCATCCAGATCCGTACGGCCTCCAGGCACTGGGACATCACTTCAGGGGCATCGTTGGGGTGGTCCGGGGTGGAGATGTACAGCTGGGTGTCGTCAGCGTACAGATGGTACTTCACCCCGAAACCACGGATGATCTCGCCCAGCGGCTTTACATAAATGTTGAACAGAAGGGGTGAGAGAACCGATCCCTGCGGCACCCCACATATAAGGGGCCTCGGGGTCGATCTCTGCCCCCCTGTCAACACAGACTGCGACCGGTCAGAGAGAAAGGAGGAGAACCACCGTAACACGGTGCCTCCCACCCCCAACCCTTCTAGCCGGTGCAGCATGATACCATGGTCGATGGTATCAAAAGCCGCTGAGAGGTCTAACAGGACCAGGACAGAGGAACAGCCCCTGTCCCGAGCCCTCCAGAGATCATCAACCAACGCGACCAATGCCGTTTCCGTGCTGTACCCGGGCCTGAAGCCCGACTGGAACGGATCTAGATACGACGCTTCATCCAGGTACTGGGGTAGCTGTCGCGCAACCACACTCTCAACAACCTTCGCAATGAAGCAAAGGTTGGAGACTGGACGATAATTAGCCAATACTGCCGGGTCCAGGGAAGGCTTCTTGAGGAGAGGCCTTACCACCGCCTCTTTCAAGGCGGCGGGAAAGACACCCTCACCCAACGAAGCATTTATAATCCCCTGGAGCCAGCCTCGTGTCACCTCCCGGGAAGCCAGCACAGGAGGGACACGGGTCCAACAAACATGTGGTCGCGTTCAATCTACCCAGAATCCTGTCCACGTCATCTGGGGTCACAGGATCAAACTCATCCCAGATAACAGTCTCAAGACCTGTCTCTGTTACCCTCGCTGGATCTATCCCATCAGAGTCCAGACCTGCCCGAATCTGAGTGATTTTGTCATACAGATACTGAACAAAATCCTCGGCTCTTCCCTCCAAGGGGTCCTCCCGCGCTTCCTGGTGGAGCAGGGAGCGGGTCACCCTAAACAGGGTGGCCGGGCGATTATCTGATGACGCAATAAGAGCAGTAAAATGAGTACATTTTGCTGCTTTTATCGCCACTAGGTAACTCCTAATATGAGATCTTACCAGTGTTCGGTCAGATTCAGAAAGACTAGCCTTCCAACAGCTCTCTAGGCGTCTTTTCCGGCGCTTCATCTCCCTCAGCTCCTCGGTGAACCAAGGAGCCAGGCGAGATCGGCGCCGGATCAGAGGCCGCAAAGGCACGACTCGATCCAGGGCTCCAGCAGCCGCCCTGTCCCAGGCGGCCACTAGGTCCCCAGATGAGGCGTGAGCCAGAACCTCCGGGATTGGCCCAAGCTCCGTCTGGAACCTATCAGGTTCCATCAGGCACCTGGGGCGGTACCATCTTACCGGTTCCGCCTCCCTGCAGCGGGGTGCCGCGGTTCGAAGGTCAAGGCGAAGGAGCGAGTGATCTGACCATGACAAGGGCTCGATGACTATATCCCCTATCTCGAGATCACTCAACCACTGTCCAGAGACAAAAACCAAGTCCAGTGTGTTCCCCCCCCCTGTGCGTAGAGCCATGAATTAGTTGGGTCAGGTCCATGGCTGTCATGGAAGCCATGAACTCCTGAGCCACCTCAGACGCCTCACCCACGGATGGCAGGTTGAAATCCCCCATGACCATAAGTCTGGGGGTATCAACCGCCACCGCGGCAATAACGTTGAGTAGCTCGGGCAGGGCTGCCGCCATGTGGCAGGGAGCCAGGTACGTGATCAGCAAACCCATCTGAACCCCGTGGCCCCACTTCACAAGGAGGGACTCACAACCAGCTGTCTGAGGTACAGTGGTCTCCCTCGGCCTAAGGCCTTCTCTAATAATAACCGCTACTCCCCCGCCCCTCCCCTGTGACCTTGGCTGATGGAATGCGTGGAAACCTGGTGGGCACATTTCTAGCAGAGGGACCCCTCCCTCTGGGCCCAACCAGGTCTCCGTAATACCCGCCAGGTCCGCTCCCCCCTCGTAAACAAGATCACAAATGAGGGGGGGGGCTTTATTTACTACAGACCTGGCGTTGCACAACATCAAGCGAAGGCCCGGGCCCTGAAGGTCTGTACTACCTGGGGAACGGGAGGAGCCTTGGGGGCCGGAGCACTCTACCGCTTGAAGACAGCGGGTTAAGGTTAAGAGTAACACAGGAATATTAATTGATATATCAAATTTTGAGGCTGCCCTATTCCATGATGTCTTGCTCAACATTAGTCCAAATGACATTATATTTATTTATAGGTGCTGAAAACCAACCTGAAGAACTACAGACCAACTACAAATATATGAGGCTCCATAATCACCTATCTCAAGGTCTGGAGAATAACCAAACAGATCTTTAACAATTTCCAAAAGATTGGGAATCACATGAATCTCGGCAGGGGTGGGGAGAGAAAGAGCTACAATACGGTAGGTGCACTTCCTAGGGTCCCTAAGATGACATGGTTTATTCAATGGAACCTGGAGCACACTTACCTGCATTCATGTACCTCTAGCATTAGAGGCTCAGGTTATCTCAATGTGCTTTAAAAGTTGGTATTTTAACTGCGGAACTTCCTAGACAGAAACAACCTATTTGATTTTTATCCATTTATACAATGCTTTGTATATATGATGGCTTTTCAAGCCTGCCAAAAAGTGACAACTGCAAACACAATTGCAAAATTTTAGCAGGTGCTAAATCAAACTATTAAATGCACATCTTATCAATACTTCCAAAATTGTACCAGTTTCTGGGGGAAAATCATAATATTGCTAATCTTAAACAGTCACAGAAATTAAGACCTTATTATATTTCAGCAAGAATTGGAGTGGAGCTGCTGCAGCGAGGCAGGTGTCAGGACATGAATGGTGTGGCTGCGGGGGTCCTGAGGTAAGCTGGTGCGGGGCACATGGGGCAGCTCCACCTCCCCACCTGATCTTGTGGCCGTGGCACTGACAACCAGATGGAATGGGCGGGCAACTGCGTAGGCTCTTAAGTAGGGCTTATTTTGGGGGTAGGGTTTATATTGGGGACATGTCATGAGCCACAAGCCAAACTTCAGAAGAAATGCAGTCATTTATTAATGGAGCACCATTCCGGCAATACTCCGATGGCTGATCAGATCCCGAGGGAATATCAGGACCTCGCGGGAGTATTCAGCGAGGCCGAGTGAGACATCCTGCCTCCCCACCGTGAGACGGACTGCGTCATCGAAATCTTCCCTGGGGCAAAACTACCCAAGCCCAAACTGTATGCTATGGCATACAACACACACATAAAACATGCTAGGGCTTATTTTCAGGATAGGTCTTATAAGTTTTGGAGACAGATCTAGTCATGTCTATTCAGAAATAAACCCAAATGAATTCAATTCAATGTGATTAGGATAGTTTGCCTAAAATTTCAGCTTCGCTGCCTTATCTTAGTCTGCCCAAATATCATCTTCCTACCTGAGAATTTGGATCCTTGCTTCTTTGTGCTGACAAGAATGCTACAGCCATGAAATATTCAGGCCACTCCAAGTAATCATCTCGTTTTTTACAGGTCATCTCACAATCATACCTACAGAAATTACACAATGACAATAAATGGTTATGGTTTGCATGAACTATGATTTTTTAAAAGAAAATTAAAACCTGTAAAAGATGCACTTTGACCTCAGGGTTTGAATCTGCAGAAATAAATCAATTATTGCCATACAGAAGGATGGCACCAGAGTTTAATTAAGTACAACTAAAAGAGCAGAATCTGACCTTGAAGGTTACAGATTCAAATAAAAATAGTTGGAAATATTGGTGTTTTATATCTGCCTAGTGGCAGATATAACATTACTGAAACATTACTTTTCAGACCAAAAGGCCGAAAGGAGACTGAATTATCTCATTTAAAACTGCAATTTATAGTGTTTAAGTCATGCAATGTTAACTATTATCTATCCCTCAATATTATCTTCTTTGGAAAAATATGGAAAAGATTACCTCACTTACCCGAACATTACTGACATTAAGTTGTTTGAATAAAGATACCATCAGCCAGCTATTCTTACAGCAAGCATCTGATGCAGTTTCATTTGTTACAGCTAAAAATAAACACTGAACATGAAATATCTTTTTGCTGAATATTCTTGGAGTGTCAATGCCTGCTAATAATGATTTTCAATTATACTGCTCATAAGCCATGTTGATAACATATAATCCAATGTCAGAAGTCAAGTGTTCCATTTTGACTGCTTTTATGGTAGACTCTAATAATAGCCCTTTTTTTACTTTGCATTTTAGCAAACATGAATAAGCAGGTAGAACAATGACCCTAAAAGTAGCATTTAAATAAACTCAATTTTTCAAAGCATTATATTCTTCCAAAGAGAATAATCCATGTGCACTATTTTCTAATTCTCTAGATAAATAAATACAGGTTTCCTGAGAGTTGAAAGTGGGTTATGATTTGTGAAATATTTTGCTATTCATGTTCTACAAACATAAAAACCCAGGAAATATACTCATTCAAATTCTGCCTGCACTTTACAATGTGAGCAGCTGTACTCTTCCAACTCTCTAAAAAACCCATCATTTAATGGAAGCTCTCAGAAAGCCAACTTCATTTGATGTCATTCACCCTAGTATCTAAAATTCAGTTTGCAGGTTTTATATCCATCAATATTTATATCCATTCTCCCATGTAGATATTAATACCTCTTTCATTTACTTAGAAAACATCTATATAGATTTTTCATTGTAGAAAGCAGAACCTCATGTAAAAATCCTACAGAACTGAATTGCAAGCATTGCGGAGTGCATTCTTTTATTTCACCCAAGATATTTGTAATATTTTCTCTATGCCTAAAGACTATACTAAAAATAGATTAATATGGTGAGCATTTGTCCTCACACTAACCAGAAGTTGAACCTGATTTGAGAGCACTAGTCTCTGAAGTTTTTTAAGAACATGATAGGCAATTCTTACAATTAAAAGATGCATACAAACATAATGATGGATTTTTCCTGCTGCACAAGTGAGCTCTGCTTTCCCCAAACATAAGCTTATTTACTAGATATTTCTGTATTGGAAAATGTATGTGATCATCCATATTATATAAAAAACTCTGGGAGCTAATCAACAGATATGCAAATGATAAAATATAGAAGATTTTTTTAAAAATTATATACCACCAAATGGCCTAAGAGCATCCTCTCAAAAACACAAGTGGTGTCACTTCCCATTCTGGCTCAACTCCTAAGGAAAGTGCCTTCTGATTAAATGGCTGAGTACATTAATCTGTTCTTTATATGGTGTATCTGCCCTAGGATTTAGTTAGTTTTTCCTAAATCTTTACATACAGAAAACATTCCAAACATTTCCTAAACACTTTCTGCTTGGCATTGTCAGTTACTTTATAAAGATTAGTTGAAATCCGAAAGGAGGTTTCACATCATATAGAGAAGTTTGATGCAGAGGATCTCCAATATGTCCTGTACAAATGCTTCTTCTAAAAAAACATCCCCAAATTTGGTCCAGAAAAAGAAGCTGTGTTCACATAACATGATAGACTAAGCTACAATGGTGTTGGCCAGTTTGTGGTCCAGCACCTGTAAAACCAAGTCACTTTCTTAGCATATTGTGTAAATTGGACCATCATACTAACTTCTATTACATACTAACTTATATTTGTATGTTATGTAGGCATCTTTTGTTAATCTGCTTTTAGAGTTTAATATGTAGTATATCACGGTGTAACAACAAGCCATACATCTGTAGCGAGCTCATATTTTTCTCATGAAGCAATATCTTTTCTGATCTTAAGAGAAAGACTTCCACTAATGAAGAACAATGTTGCTTTTCAATGTTTTTTCCTTAGGGAAACCCATCTGAAGAACAATCATTACTTTAAGATATAAAATACACTCTAGAAATTGGACTGAGATAAAAAGCTAGTCAAGATGAGGCCATTTCTTCATTATTTTATGATAGCAGATCAGTTTAAACACTCAGGTGAGCCTAATCTTGACATTAAATCAGTCATTGCTGTAATATGAATTCAGTATTTCAGACTTTACAATGGTTGGATTCAAAAAACTTATTTCTCCACCAGAACATATTTAAGTAATTGCTAAATTTAAAATCTTCGTAAGATTACTTTTTAGAATCAAGTCTGATTTTCAGAATTCTTAGAATCTATCTTTTTAATTACTGCATAAATCAACTTGCTTTCCTTTTTAAGTTTGAAGTATAGGATATAAATGTTTCATAAAATAAACATTCAACAATGCAATTTCAGGTTAAATTACTTTAGATTATATATCTGTTTGTAGCCTACCTTTATTGTTTTTACAAACAACTCAAGAACATATCTCAACATACCTTCTTCCTCCTATTTTCCCCACAATTACAACCCTGTAAATTATGAAGTGTGTTGGACAAAAAGTGACTAGTCCAAAGTCACCCAAGCCTGGCTTTTATGGCCAAAGCAGGACTTGAACTCACAATCTCCCGCTTTCTTAACTGGTGCCTTAACCAAGGATGTCAAACTCGCGTCGTCACATGACATATCGTTACTTTTCCCCCTTCACTAAATCGGGTGTGGGTGTGGCCAGCGCATGATGCATCTGGCCTGCGGGCCACAAGTTTGACAGCCCTGCACTGGACCAAACTCAAACTGAAAGTGATTCTGAAAGTAAAACAATATGAATACATTTAAAGCTGTTAGGTTAAATTCTGAGGTTGCATATGTGGAAGAAGAGCTCTTATCTCATTTTTAGGACTGTCATCCCACTTTCTCATTGTTCTGTTTGTTTACAGCATCTTGAATCTCCAAAGACCTACGCAAGGGTCCTCTTTGTAGACTTTAGTTCAGCATTCCAGACACACTTCTAACTAAGCTAAACCAGCTACAGGTACCTGAACACACTTGCAAGTGGATCATAAGCTTCCTAACAAACAGGAAGCAGCAGGTGAAGCTAAGCAGAATCACATTAGATACCTGTACAATTAGCACAGGGCCCCCACAAGGCTGTGTGCTCTCCCCACTTCTCTCTGTATACCAATGACTGCATCTCTAACAATCCATCTGTTAAAACTACTGAAGTTCACAGATGACAGAACATTGATCGGTCTCATTTGCAGGGCTGTGGAGTCGGGAGATAAATGTTCCGACTCCGACTCCTCAGTTTTTGTACTTCCGACTCCGACTCCAGGTACCCAAAATTTCCTCCAACTCCACAGCACTGGCTGTGGAGTCGGGAGATAAATGTTCCGACTCCGACTCCTCAGTTTTTTGTACTTCCGACTCCGACTCCAGGTACCCAAAATTTCCTCCGACTCCGAGACTCCGACTCCACAGCACTGCTCATTTGAGACAATGATGAATCCGCATACAGACGGGAGGTTGAACAACTAGCCTCGTGGTGTGACCAGAACAATCTGGAACTGAACACACTCAAAACTGTAGAAATGGTGATAGACTTTAGGAGAAACCCTTCCATACGTCCACCTCTCACAATACTAGACAACACAGTATCAACAGTAGAGACCTTCAAATTTCTAGGTTCGACCATATCGCAAGATCTAAAATGGACAGCTAACATCAAAAAAGTCATCAAAAAAGTACAACAAAGAATGTTCTATCTGCGCCAACTCAGAAAGGTCAAACTGCCCAAATAGCTGCTGATACAGTTCTTCAGAGGAATTATTGAGTCTGTCATCTGCACCTCTATAACTTTCTGGTTTGGCTCTGCAACCCAACAAGACAGACACAGACTTCAGAGGATAATTAGAACTGCAGAAAAAACAATTCCTACCAACCTGCCTTCCATTGAAGACCTGTATACTGAATGAGTCAAAAAGAGGGCTGTGAAAATATTTAGACCTCTCAAAACGCCATAGAGCACTGCACACCAGAACAACTAGACACAAGAACAGTTTTTTCCCGAATGGCATCACTCTGCTAAACAAATAATTCTCTCAACTCTGTCAAACTATTTACTAAGTCTGCATTACTATTAATCTTCTCATCGTTCCCACCACCCATCTCCTTCCACTTATGACCGTATGACTGTAATTGAGCTGCTTGTATCCTTACGATTTATATTGATATTGTTTCCTGATTGCTTATTTGTACCCTATGACTATCATTAAGTGTTGTACTTTATGATTCTTGATGAACATATCTTTTCTTTTATGTACACTGAGAGCATATGCACCGAGACAAATTCCTTGTGTGTCCATTCACACTTGGCCAATAAAAAATTCTATTCTATTCTAGCTCAGAGCAAATCAGAACTAGCTTGTTCTCATAATCGTGAAAGCTTGTGTTTGAAATCTACAAAGGTACAGAAAGATAGCATTCGATATAGACTTTGCTCAACTTTGTTTAATTAAATGCATGCATCTCATAACCTATGTAAATTTCAACTGAGTCTTTACTACTGTACTACACCTAAAAGAAGCTGTTTCTACATCTGTAAAGGATGCTTTAATTTTTTTTTATTACTCTAATTTTAGAAAAGAAGAAATTCTGAAAGTTATTGAACAAGAAAATTTCAGAAATCAAAGACCTCCAGCAACATAATATTTAACACTAATCTTATACTTAATCCCTAGCAATTTAACCTGCTGAAGGAAATGCCTTTCCTCCAAGTTGCAAACAACCACAATTCTTTAGATTTGACAACAGCAGGCTGCATAAAGTATTGCTTTTGGTCAGGGTTTCCTGCCAGGCAGAGCAACAAAACTGTCTGTGCTCTGCATTCCCAAGTAGACACAAGGAGAATAAGTGATTTTCCCCAAGACATAAAGGAAGCCATACATGTACGCAAGTTACTTAAATACAGTCTCCTGTATTTACCTCTGGGTGTTAACCTTTCATTGTGTGCTCTAATAGTGAACTGATTTTTCAGGCTTGTCATATTATGTTGGAGTAGTAGATACTCCCATTCTAAATTCCAATTCTAAATTCTAATTCTAAATGATCGTAAATCCTTCTGTCGTTCAATTTTCAGTAATAATCAAGACATTACACACTACTTTATAATCTGTGAACTCTATAACCATATAATAAAGATCACTCTGTCCACAACACTCAATGGTAAGCCACCAAATACATTTAGCAATTGCTTACAATTTGTATTTGAATTTCAACCTAAGTTCTGCAATGAAATGTTACTGTTAAACAAAAGGATTGTTTCAGCCAGCCAGCCATCAAGCCATGCCAGCTCCAGCATATGCCATTCAATTCTTTCTTCTCTCAGGCCCACCAATTAATAAACTTACTTCTCACAGGACTTTTTTTTTTTCCTTTGCTCTTACCATTTCTTTCTCCTGATATTTCTTTTACTTCACAAAAGTAATCCCACAACTTGGGATTCAGCGGGGTTTGTTCCTTCTTGAGTAATGAAAAAAAAAAAAAGGGAGACTACAAAATACCGTAGGTTACACTGGGATCCGCATGTCCCTCATTGTGTTTATGGATGCACACTTCTGGTTCTCTCCTGTCTCCTGCGTTGCGGGCATCTAAAATCAAAAGGGACCTGCACAAAATATAGTGAAGAGCCTGCTTCTGCTTAATTCATTAAAAATAGTGAGACGAGAGGCGGAGAAAATTAAAAAGAACATTGCAGAGAAAGGAATAAATGGTTTCACCGGGATATGTGTGTGTATGTTAAGTAGGCTTTTGAGGGACCCGATTCAATTACCCAAGCAAATACAAATGTGCATAAAAGGGTGAAGGGAATTCGGGGGAAAGGCGTAAGTCTAAGCAACCAGGGTGGCTGCACAAGTGAGTGTAAACGGAGAGAATAGCGTTATGCGAATGCGCAACCCATCGGCAACCCGTGCCCCTACCCATTGGGGGAGCTGGTCTGCAGCTGACCGTCAGCGTTCATCGCGTCTTTATCCACGTCGACCGAACAAATTACGGTCCCACCGGCGTCCGCCTCCCAACAGACAAATCCGCTTTGCTTAGTTTGGCGCCAAAACTGGAGTCAGAATTGGCGGGAAAGGAAGGCGGAGTTCGACTGGAAAGCCCCGCCTCAAACTGCACATACTGGAGGCCGGAGGGTGCTGGCGGACTACATTTTCCAGAATGCATTGCTCCGCCGACCTTGTCGGGCTATCTCGGCAGAAAAGTTGCCGCGCAAGGGAAGTTTGTGCGGTGCCGACGGGAAGGCGACAAAGCTTTTTATCCACTAAAATCTAATTTAATGGTACAATGGAGCCATATGTCATTTCAGTAGCCTTTACATCCTGTTCTCCAAGAATATTCTTGATTTAACCTCAGTCAGACTATACCCCATAATTCCTCGTGGTTTTAGCTAACTTTACAGTGTCTGGAAATTGTAGGAATTGTCATCTGACCTCCCTAACTTTTTTAGGCTACATTTAGAGAATGTGAAGAATTCTCTAGAGAAACCTTTATTTTAGGATGTTGTACTCTTGTGGGCCATATAAGTTATTTGCAAGCATATTGCACTTGATTGTACCCTATTCCCTTCCTGGGCTTTTCTTAGTACAAGTATGCAACTGATTTAATCTGTAAACCTATTCCATACAATTGCAAGCATTAAAAAAAGAGAATCACTTTATCACATGATGACAGAATTGGGCTCTTGATGCTTAGAAAAGGGGGAAAATGGTTGACCCTACTGTTTAAAAACTGACAGTGAAGTCTTAGGCATAATAGGGCTACCTTTACCCAAAGATAAAGTTTTTGGGTATCATCTAGTGCTGGTACAAATTTTTACAGAGTAGATACTATAACTGTAAATATTTGGGTAATGAGAAAGACTTTTTTCTCCACTATTGATTTACAGTGCTATCCACTATTTCTGCCTCAGGGAAATACTGCAGTTTTAAAGTTGGTGATCTGTTTTTTTGACTTCATCCTCTCTGGCTTCTGTTGCATCTTTGGTGCTGAAATGTGTTACAGTGCCTTCACTATTCAGTATGCCAATACTACACCGACATCTGAAGTTATCTTCTTCCTGATGTTTCTGCACAAATCAATGAGTTGTAAAAAGAATGGGTCTCCTGTGTTATTCTGATATCATTTCTGATTTGAACAGATCAGCATTGCAACTCTAATTGAGAGAGCAAATGCTAGAAGAGAAATGCCAGCAAATGCTATGAGTACCGTAGCTGGGCTTCAGAAATCTGGGTGATGATTTGATAGTAGAAAATATGATGAAACCTTTTGCACCCACATAGTGATATGGATTTTGCAATCTAAATATAGTACCCGTAGCAAATGCTGATTATGAACAGAAGGAAGAGGTCTTGGCTACATTTGAGATGGCCACATCTGTGGCAACATTCAGAAGCAGGACCTAACTATTTCAAAAAGAGAATGCAAGATAAAATAGATTATGCAACCCCAGTTGCTGTAATGGGACCCTCTTGATTTAATTAAAAAAAAGAAAAAAAAAATGCTTATCATGTATTATCTACCATAAAGAATGATAACAAAAAACTGAATAGCAGCACGTGAGATCACATTGCTAACATCCAGTGGATAATGGAAAAAGCAAGGGAACTCTAAAATATATTTATTTTGATTTATTGATAATACAAATGCTTTTGATTATGTAGATGACAAGAAAGTATGGGTTGTCCTTAAAAATATAGATGCAGCAGGCTATTTTACCTGTTTATATGATTATAGTTAAAATAGAATATGTAACAATTCATCTTATTTAACTTAGATCCATCTGTGTTGTGAGAAATGGTAGATTAGAAAAAATAGGATTTGGAATTAAAATATCTATAAGAAATATCAGTTCTGTGGATAATATCACTTTGATGTCCGGATGCAAGGAAAACTTTAGGAATATCTTGTTAAAGGTGCAGCTCAAAATAGGGGAGGGGGGAAGCTAGAATAATTTTTGACTTTACCGTCTGCTTTTATTTCTTGTCTATTTGCATTAAGCTGGCATTGCTTGTCAATAGAAGAAATAAAGGCAGACGTTATCATTCTAGAGTAAAAAAATTACAAGGACGGTGACAAGCTGTGAAATAAATAAAAACGTTACTTGGGAGGAAGACTGCAACAGATGTAGACAATATTAAAGTGCAGAGATTATAACAAAAGATTTTTATAGTCAACGTTTTCTCCATTATAACATGTAGCTTTGAAAGCTGAATGAAGAAAAAATATGTCTTTGAAAAAGTGGAAGCTGGAAAATTGGGGAGCATACCTCTAGCTGCAAGAACAATTTTATTCTGTACTAGATAAAGAAAAGAGAGTACTCACTGGAGGTGCTAATAATGAAGCTAAAACTCAGCTATTTTGGACATATAATGTGAAGGCAATCAAAGAAGAGGCTGACAGGAGACAAGATGGCTAGATATTATCACTGATTACACAAGTATCATCTTAGAAGGACCAAAAAAGACCATTCTGATGAAATGATGTCCATCAAGACATAAATAGTTGAAAGAACTGAACAATCAATCTTATTCAGGAGGGGGGAGCGGACCTGGTGGGCATTACGGAGACCTGGTTGGGCCAGGAGGGGGAGTTCCCCTCGTGGATATGTGCCCACCAGGCTTCCGTGCATTCCATCAGCCGAGAACTCAGGGCAGGGGCAGGGGGGTGGCGGTTATTATAAAGGAAGGTCTGGATCTGAGGGAGACCACTGTACCACAGATAGCCGGATGTGAGTCCCTTTTTGTGAAGTGGGGTCGTGGGGTGCAGATGGGCCTGTTGATCATGTACCTGGCTCCCTGCCACGTGGCAACGGCCCTGCCCGAGCTGCTCAACGTCATAGCCGGGCTGGCGGTTGATACCCCCAGGCTTTTGGTCATGGGGGATTTTAATCTGCCATCCATCGGTGAAATGTTTGAGGTGGCCCGGAGTTCATGGCTTCCATGACGGCCATGGACCTGACTCAGTTAATTCATGGCCCCACTCACATAGGCGGGTACACTCTGGACTTAGTTTTCATCTCTGGTCAGTGGTCGAGTGGCCTTGATATAGGGGATATAGTCATCGAACCCTTGTCATGGTCTGACCACTCACTCCTTGGACTAGACTTTTTAACCGCTACACCCCGCCACAGGGAGGCGGAACCGACTAGGTGGTTCCGCCCCAGGCGCCTGATTGATCCTGATAGATTCCAGATGGAGCTTGGGCCAATTCCTGAGACTCTGGCTCATGACTCGGCTGAGGATTTGATGGCCGCCTGGGACAGTGTGGCTGCTGGGGCCTTGGACCGCGTTGTGCCTTTGCGGCCTCTGACCCGGCACCGAACTCACCTAGCTCCTTGGTTCTCCGAGGAGCTGAGGGAGATGAAGCACTGGAAAAGACGCCTGGAGAGCGGTTGGAGACCAGCCGTTCCGAATCTGACCGAACACTGGTGAGGTCTCACATTAAGACCTACCTAGTGGCGATAAAAGCGGCAAAATCTAGCTATTTTTCTGCTCTTATTGCGTCATCAGATAATCGCCCAGCTGCCCTGTTTAGGGTGACCCGCTCCCTCCTCCATCTGGGAGTGCGGGATGACCCCTTACAGGGTCGAGCTGAGGATTTTGTGCAGTATCTGTATGATAAAATCGCTCAGATTTGGGAAGGTCTGGCCTCTGACTGGGTAAGTCCGGAGGGGATGATTGAGGCAGGTCTTGATAGTGTTATCTGGGAGGAGTTTGATCCTGTGGCTCCCGAGGACGTGGACAGGATTCTGGGACGTCTGAACGCGACCACATGTTTATTGGACCCGTGTCCCTCCTGGTTGGTGCTGGCTTCCCAGGAGGTTACACAAGGCTGGCTCCAGAGGATTATTAATGCTTCTTTGAGTGAAGGTGTCCTGCTGGCCGCCTTGAAAGAAGCGGTGGTGAGGCCCCTCCTCAAGAAGCCCTCTCTGGATCCGGCTGTTTTGGCTAACTATCATCCAGTCTCCAACCTTCGTTTTATTGCGAAGGTTGTTGAGAGTGTGGTGGCATGGCAGCTGCCACAGTACCTGGATGAAGCTGTCTATCTAGATCTGCTCCAGTCCGGCTTCAGGCCTGGGCACAGCACGGAAACGGCATTGGTTGTGTTGGTGGATGATCTCTGGAGGGCTCGGGATAGGGGTTGCTCCTATTAGATCTCTCAGTGGCTTTTGATACCATCGACCATAGTATCATATTGCGCCGATTGGAGGGGTTGGGGATGGGGGGCACTGTTTTGCGGTGGTTCTCCTCCCTCTCTGATCGGTCGCAATCTGTGTTGACAGGGGGGAGCGGTCGACCCCGAGGTGCCTTGTTTGTGCGGTACCGCAAGGGTCGGTCCTCTCGCCCCTTCTGTTCAACATTTATGTAAAGCCGCTGGGTGAGATCATCCATGGCTTTGGGATGGAGTTCCATCAGTACACTGATGACACCCAGCTGTACATCTACACCCCAGGCCACCCCAACGATGCCCTTGAAGTGATGTCCCGGTGCCTGGAGGCCGTGTGGGCCTGGATGGGGAGAAACAGTCTCCAACTCAACCCTTCCAAGACCGAGTGGCTGTGGCTTCCAGCGTCCTGATATAGCCAGCTGGTGCCATCGCTGGTTATTGGGGGCGAATCACTGGCCCCCACGGAGAGGCTCGCAACTTGGCCGTCCTCCTGGATGCACAGCTGTCTTTAGAAGAGCATATGACGGCCGTGGCCAGGGGGGCTTTTTACCAGGTTCGCCTGATACGCCAGTTGCGTCCCTTTCTGGATCGGGACTCCCTATGCATGGTCACTCAGGCACTCGTCACTTCCTGCCTGGACTACTGCAATGATCTCTACATGGGGCTCCCCTTGGGCTGCACCCAGAGGCTCCGGCTGGTCCAGAATGCGGCCACGCGGGGGATTATGGGAGCGACGGGGCGCTCCCATGTGACACCTCTCCTGCGCGAGCTGCACTGGCTCCCGGTGGTCTTCCGGGTGCGCTTCAAGGTGTTGGTGACCCCCTTTAAAGCGCTCCATGGCTTAGGGCCGGGGTATCTACGAGACCGCCTTCTGCCGCAAAT